ATTTCCCCTTAAAGCAGGCGCGTAGACAGGGGCGGTAGGGGCAGTAAGAGGACAGGACGAAAAAGGAGCAGACAAAGAAACATTTTTGAAAATTCTGACAAGTCGAGAACGGTACAACGAATCGTCTTCTTTCTCTAATAATTTAATGAAATGTCAAGCGCGGGAGGTGGAGGATTGAATTCACACAAGGATTAAGAGTCGTGAATGGTACCGTACAACGAATCGTCTTCTCTCTCGAATAATTTAATGAAACGTTAAGCTTCCACGCAAAGCGCTGGAGGGGGCAACTGAATTCAGACAAGGATTTAGAGTCGAGAATGGAACAACGAATCATCTTCTTTCTATAATAATTTTTATTAAACTATGAACTATTAAGAGTCGAGAATGAAACAACGAATCATCTTCTTTCTCTAAGAATTTCATTAAACTATGAATGGGTCAAAGCTTCCGCGCTTCGCGCGGGAGGGGGAAACTGAATTCAGACAAGAAATAAGAGTCGAGAATGGTACAACGAATCGTCTTCTCTCTCGAATAATTTAATGAAACGTTAAGCTTCCACGCAAAGCCCGGGAGGGGGGCAACTGAATTCAGACAAGGATTTCGAGTCGAGAATGGAACAACGAATCATCTTCTTTCTATAATAATTGTATTAAACTATGAACGGTCAAAGCTTCCGTGCTTCGCGTGAGGGGGGGGGGGGGGGGCTGAATTCATTCAAGTAATAAGAGTCGAAAATGGTACAACCAATCGTCTTCTTTCTCTAATAATTAATGAAAGGTCAAAGCTTCCTCGCTTTGCGCGGGGGGAGGAAATTGAATTCAGACAAGGATTAAGAGTCGAGAAAAGGTACGACGAATCCTTTTCTTTCTCTAATAATTTAATAAAACATCGAAGCTTCCAATCTCCGCGCGGGAGGGGGGAAAATGCATTCAAACAAGGATTAAGAGTCGAGAAAGGTACAACGAATCCTTTTCTTTCTCTAATAATTTAATTAAACTATGAAAGGTCAAAGCTTCCGCGCTTAACGCGGGAGGGGGAACTGAATTCAGAGAAGGATTAAGACTCGAGAATGAAACAACGAATCATCTTCTTTCTCTAGGAATTTCATTAAACTATGAATGGGTCAAAGCTTCCGCGCTTCACGCGGGAGGGGGGAAACTGAATTCAGACAAGAAATAAGAGTCGAGAATGGTACAACAAATCGTCTTCTTTCTCTAATAATTCGTCCCTATTTTCACAAAGTGACGGTAGTGAGGAAAATCGTAACGCAAAGTGAATGCAATTTTTTTTTTACTACCGTCACTTCGTGAAAACAGCGACGAATTAATGAAAGGTCAAAGCTTCCGCGTTTCGCGCGGGAGGGGGACGAACTGAATTCAGACAAGGATTAAGAGTCGAAAATGGTACATCGAATCCTCTTCTTTCTCTTATAATTTCATGAAACATCAAGGCTTCTGCGCTTCGCGCGTAATGGGGGGGGGGGGGGCAGCAAGCTGTCCGAATATGAATTTTTGATATCTTTTCTCGTTTATTTTGGTGATAAATAACACTTTCACAAAATACATATTATGCTCAAATTTTTGCTCGCTCGCTTCGCTCACTAGCCGAATTGTGAAACCAGAAAATTACTTTTTCGGGCAAGAGGCTATAGGCCCCCCCCCCCCCCCCCCCCCCGACGAAAATGTCAAAAATTGTACCGGTATAATAATAATAATAGTGGCTACTTGTATAGCGCTTCTAATATGTCCTTGTCAGTATTGGTATGTTGAGTTGAAAAAAATTGTCTGCGCAGTTTTCAAATTTCCGCCACCCCCCCCCCCCCCCCCCCCCTTATTGGAAAATCCTGGATCCGCGCCTGCCACTCCGTGACAAATTTCGGTTCTTTAGTTGAGGGAATTCTACTTTTTCCCCAATTAAGTGTCAAGCTCTTTACTTATAGCCAGTTATAGGCTCTGAAAATTGATGGTTAGAGCAATAATTATAGTGATGATAATGATAATAATAGTACTAGTAATATTAACTTTCCGGATTGATGAAGTAACAGCCATAAGTCAAGTCAAGTTTGGATCTTGCAAATACAAGAGGCCTATAATTATGTGGGTATTAAGCAAACAGTTCTGCCGATATGGCTTTTTTTTTTACTGTAAATATAATATAGTTGGGAAAGTAGGGTTGCGCTGCCTACCAGTGTATTCTTTTTTCATCCTCACTATTTATGAAAGGCATAAAAGATGCTACAAGTAAGTATCACCAGAATGCATGTTAAAACATTGTTAAACATGCCTTTAAGGAAATATTTTGCTCGTCACATCAACCAGCAGAAAAGAAGACGTACTGAATTGTATTCCTGCTAAAAGTATAGACTTAGGAACAATTTTATTAACCATTTTAAGATTCATTTTCATCTCTTCCATTTTCAAGATAACATAACAAGATATAATAACAAGATATAATAACATGACAAAGTAGCACAACATTACATAACAATCACAATCATAAATAGGAGTTGATAGATTTTTAAGAAATAAAAAGAAAGGGGAAAAACATCTTCCCTGCTACCCACGTCCCCCCCCCCCCCCCTGCCCTCTTGCCGCTATAAATGAACATGTACTGTGAGAACCAGTGACGTAGCGCGGGCTCAGTCTTGGGGGGGGGGGGGTAACAGTCTACTAGATCAGTGTTTTTTAAACAATTTGTTTGTCACGGCACCCTTTTAAAAATTAAAAATAGCCATTCGCCACCCCAATCCCAAACCCATCACAAAACGCTCCTTTTACATTTCTCTGGCACTCGTCATTTGCCATATGCACACAAACGGGCATATATGATTCTAAATTTTGGGAGCGAGCGAGCAAAAAGAAAAGATAATTTTAAAAATGGCAAATATTTAATTTGTAATCAACAAATTAGATAATAGACATATGATAATGTATGCGTGCACCTCGCCGATGAATGTACACAAACTCATATATTCGGTCCCCTCGATACATGAATATTAGGATATTCGGCCATCTCATTGCCCATAATTATGCTGGTATAATGTCGGCAAGCGAGTAAAGCGAATGAGCGTGGGAAACATATTAAAAATATAAGATATATTTGGGTACCTTGCTGTCAAATAGAAGGACGTTCGAGCCCCTCGGTGCCCACATGTCGTCCTGTTTCTAAACTTTGCGAGCGAGCGAAGGGAGTCAGGAAGAAAGACTCTTTATAATCTTCAAAATGCTACTTCCAAGTGAATTACAAACTGTAGATGTTTCTAATATTCGGGTTTCATGAAATCGACGTTATTCCATCAACATTTATCAAAAAATATATAACAACATTTATCTAGGGCACCCCTAGATGTCTTGCGGCACCCTGGTTAAAACATGCTGTACTTGATTGTTAACATTTGAGGGGGCAGATTGACCAGTCCGGGAGGGAATATATTCCTTGCCCCTTTAGAGCGGAAAAATGTTGCATTTTGAGGTGAAACGGAAGTTCATACTTTCTTTGTCTCTTTTCCTGTGTGTCTTCTATCTTTCACACCAATCTCCATCAATGACACAGATCTGAATATTCAAAAGCATTTTCGATAATTTGACCAAAAATTGGTAATACCAGCGAGATGTAAATTTTTACAGATAAAACCTACCTTTAAAAAAAAAAATCATTATATATATATATATATATATATATATATCATTCACCAATGCCAGCACTATAACACAAAAGAAATGAACTCATGCAAAGAGTTCAATGAGAACCCCTATAGGGGTAGCCTACTCTAAATGAATAATAGAGATATCCTCCAAAAAAGGAGGGAAACATTTTGTCATTGACTGAAGAAGCAGGGAACGGGGACATTTCCACCACATAATTCCTATGCAATTAACAACGTAATTATACCATTCCAATTTACAACATGATGAAAAATATAATAACAAGTAAAGATTGCACATAAAAACTGGCAGACCAGATGAGAAAAAAATGATTAAGATTGTGACCAATGACCATAACTTGCAGCAACAACAAATATGTCTTTGATCTCATTCAGCTATTCAACCCCTTTTAATAGCTATAACCGCATATTGGCATGGCGAATTCAGCCATATGTCACAAAAACAGAAAATATCCAAGGTTTTAATAGAAAGGAGAAAGTAATAATACATCAGTTGAAACTAGGGAAGTGCAAATTAAATTATTATCAGCACATTATTAATCAACATGAAGATGGATTGTGTATCCATTGTAAGGTTTCAGAAACTATAGAGCGTTTTTTTTTTACTACAATGCAAGAAATATAAACTTTAACTTAAGTGTATTTTACTTTCTTTCTTGAATTACTTGATGGTCGTATATACAATTTCCACACCACTGCGCCAGGAGTGTCATCTTTTTGACAGACATGGCGCATTATAAATGTTCACTAATATTATTTGTTATTATAAAAGAGAAAGAAGGATAATGCAAAGACGATTGAAATGTAATACGATAGATTTAGTAAAATTATTAGGGAATTTATCGGATTTTAGAGTCATCTTAGATTATATTAAAGCTAAAAACAGATTTGGAATTTTTGTATAGATCTAGATCTAGTGCGTTTTCATCTGTGAGTATATTGTGATTATGATTGAAATGTTTGAATATCATCGAGGATGACATCCTTATGATTAAAATCACGACTAATGGTGAAGGGGTGAAGGGAAATTAAATATAATTAAAAGTTGCACAGTAGCAATTCGCTGAGAGAGGTGAGCCAACTACTAACTCGAAAACAGAAGTCTGGAAAGAGAGACCCCCCATCAGAAAAAATGAGCCATGAGATCAAGTTCGACAAGATGAACATGCACCAAATTCAAAGAAGGAACGCCGTGGCGCAGATAATCTGTCAAGATTGAAGAGCGCCATCTAAACGCCAATAACAACAACAACCATACATTTTTAGGGGATTCCCAATGAGGTAATTATAAGAGCGCGCGCGCCCGCCCGCACGATATAAGGCGCGGTCGTGGACATCATAGACAAATACAGTAGTGGCATGCATAACGTGCGCGACGATCCCGATGTCACAGTCTTATTTTCAGCTAATTTCTCGCTATTGACGTAGAATCTTGATTTCCATCATCCATGCAAGCTGCCCAGGCTGTAGACAGAAATGACACTTGCGTGAATAGGAAACCACCATTCGCTCGGATCCGATCCGCACAGTAAAATTTCTTTCTTGAATTCTTCCCATCGGCCACCAGGCCATGCCACTCCACAGGTCAGAGGTTAGCCTGTAGGCCTAATCAGTAGTAGCGCTTAACTGTAAACAAGCTTGTGCATGCGGATATCGGATGAACGAGTGGTTTCCAAAACCACGATATAGTCATAGAAAATAACCATCTGGTGAGTATGGGGTTATTTTTCTTATAACTAACATTTGTCAACCTTCTATAGTATAAGGCAATTTGCTCTTTATTGTTGACCCATTCTCGCACAGTGTCACTCGTAATTTGCTGTTTGTGTAGGGTCTATTTTATTTTACGTTTACCGAGAGTCTGCAAGAATGCTGTTGATCTCCCACAATGACACATATCTGCATTACTATCCTGGCTGTGTATTAAAAGCTGTTTTATTGATTCTCAACATTTCAAACACCACTGTACAAAACTCAACTGAGTGATTTCACTCAAAATCGGTACTTTAGTGACAATTGATATGACACCTAAATATGAGTAAAATACCATTTTTTCATCTTACCATCTTACAAAGAATGCACCATCTCCTCCCATCCGAAGAGCCCTTATAGTGAGAGCCCAATTACTCACATCCACCTACTTGACACAATGCCGTCTCTTCACGCTTAAGAAATCACCTATCTCTACATGCCCCCTTTGTAAAACCAATGATGAGACAGTGGAGCACTTTGTTGGAGTCTGCTCATACCTGGCCCATCTTCGTCAGGATTTCATCAGCAAAGTCAAGGAATGCCTCATGGATTATCCCATCTGTTTAAACCTATATAAGGATAATGACCCACAGCAATTTACCCCTACTACTCTGTTACCCCTGCATCCATGCCTGCCTTCCGAAAATCATAATAACCTACTTCTACTATCGCTCTTTTTCCTACACAAAATTGAAGCTTCTCGTTCTAAGACTCTCCAAAGCTTCTAACTGGTCGGATTTTAAACATTTACTTTATTTGGACTCCAGGAATCTCCAAAACAGTGGAGGGATCAACTAAGAAGAAGAAGAAGATGTTAAAAAAAATACCCGGTAGTTTAAAAATTCAAGTTGAAAGTCTAGGGTCAAATTTGCCGATCAGCCACACCGGTTTTACATTGGTATCCAATAGAGTGTGGTGTGTGTATTGTGTGTTATACCTGCCTCTCAGCAAGTATGCAGTGCTAGAGGTCAATACGCATTACATGTAGCATTGACTCTGTGCTTTGCTGTAGTGGTTGAGCTGAGTGTATAGTCGAGCTTGGAGTTCAGACTTTTGTATTTATCCTTCTATCTTTTTACAGGCATTGTTGTCGTTTTTGGTTTCATCAGAGTTTTACAACATAATGAAGAATAAAATAACTAGGAAAAAAAACCTGGGGCTAGGGTACATTACGAAGGGTGCGAAAGCTTTTGTCTGTGAAGCCTTACATATGTTTAAACCTAACTTGTTTACGGTAAACCACTACGAAAGAGTCTCAGCTACCGGTATACTGTAGAATCTCGCTTTAGAAACCACCAGATGAAATAATTGAAATATCAAATTGAAGAATAAGAGTTGTTCTAATTAGCTCGTAAATATTGCCGTTGTTAAATTCTTGTTACCCTGTTTTAAAGCCCCACTGCACTACTTTTAGCTACTTGCGCCCTCTTTACAGCCAGCAATGTCTAAGCAGTACCCTTTGATCCCCCATAATGCCCTTTTGCTCATGTTAATTGAGAGCTGATTTGATTAGATAACCACCTACAAGTGACCTTGCAGGGAGGTCTAATCCCTCCATGCCAAACTAGTGCAGAGGGGCTTTAATATGTGAAAACTGAGCGAAATGAAGTGCCATGTTTTAGAACTGAAAATATATCGCAGTAGGCAGGCCTCTCGCCAAGAAATTAAAAACGCGTGGTACGACCCCCCCCCCCCCCCCATTTTTTTTTTTTTTTTAAAGAACTTCTCCTTCTTCCTTTTGAGTACAGACCTTTTACAGAGTATTATCGTACTATACTGGGGGTGTGCAGGTGGACAAGTATTACAAGTCATTTGATGAATTTTTATCATGGTATTATATTCCGGGTCATTGTCATATTCACCCTGGCACTAAATAATCTAAATTATCAATGTTATTCTATCTGTCTAATACCCCATTCACAGTGGTTTTGAAATTTGTAGCGGCGTTGTAGCGGAGCGGCGACACCGCCATAATACCGCCATAACACCGCTACAAATGCATTCACAGTAGAAAAGTTATCCCGCTGCAGCAGCGGGATAAATATCATGTACCCATTCACGCTGCAGCGGGTGATTTTTATTACCTCCGTAACAAACACGTGTATGCATGGCTCATGACCCGCGAGTGACCCCGATATGACCGGAAATACTTCAGCGCGGGGTTTTCGATTGCTTGAAATTGCGCGCGCTAGCTGTACTTTTTGTATCCTCGATCATATTACTTTTTAAAAAACTAGCATTTTTATTGCTTCCAGTCAGAATATTTTAATTTTTTGAAGTGTGAAATATTTTTATTTGGATAATTATAATATCTGCATAATAATAAAATCAATTTGAATCCACTGGTTACTTTATTTCTATTTCACTTTATGTTCCCCATTGCTGGAGAAAAGAGGTCAGTGATAGGTAAGTAAACAAATCACACGTGTTTGTCGCGGTGTTATAGCGGAGAGCCTTCACACTGAGTAAACACCGCGACAGCAGCGGGACTGTCCCTAGCGATAGTTTGTCGCGGCGTTATCGCGAGGCGGTGTTATCCCGCGATAGTTTATAACGGGTCCGAGCCTTCACACTGAAGACAACACCGCGACAGCAGCGGGACAGTCCCGCTGCTGTCGCGATGTTTGAGGCCACTGTGAATGGGGTATATGTTGGACATTGTGAAATTTGTTATCCAATGTTACGAAGAAAACAAAATGAGAATGATCCTAGTTGTTTGGATTTTTTAAAGCTGTAATTTTCTTATTTTCACAAAATTTGCAGTACGGTACTCAAATTTCTGCAAGTCTTTTACTTTATATTTGAGTAAAATAAATTCTCTGTCTCAAAATGAAATTATACACCTGTCAATGAAAGTTTGATTCGAGGTCAACACACACACGGACTAGGCCGCTGCGCTAAGCTATGTGCACACAATACCATACCTGCCAACCCTTACGAATAATTCAGAATATTCTGTTTTTGGAGATTTCTAGGACCTGAAAATCCAGAATACCGTATTTGCCGGCATAAAGGCCGCAGTATTTTTGGAAGAGAAAATATCAAAAGTCGGGGTGCGGCCTTTACAGCGAAAGAGTAAAAAAAAAATTTAAAAAATCGAGTCAAAACCAGCACGAATTTTGCACATATGGGACTACGAACGGTACAATAACTATACCACTATGGTACAGGACATTTCAACACATCTTACCGACAACTTTATCTTGCATTGTTGACATGAATAGGAAAATAAATTGCTAAACCAACATTTGCCGATAGATCTTGATCTAAGTTTGTGCCAATGCATTGCAAAATAAATTGGTATGGGCCGGTACTGTGAAAATATCTTGAAGTTGCCTGCAACTTGCAACTGTAAGTCAATCAAGTTTACTGGACCGCAGCAGCCACAGCGTAAAACAGACCATCGATGGCTCATTTTGCATTTATGGTATGCACGCCTTTTCCTTCAACAGATTCCCTATTTCCATTCTCACCAGTGCCTTTTTTCATCTCTGTTAAGGCCTTTTCAGGTGCAAGAAGTGCCCCATTTCTGATAAGTGCCTACTTTTCCTTTCTCCATAACATGCACCCCTAATTTAAAGTGACTTTGTCTTTAATATTTATTATAGCTTGCTCGCTACGCATGCTCATGTTACCTATAAAAGAACTATTCAGTCTTTCTTTTATATTAGACTGTGCTTTAAAATTCTATCAGAGTTGTTTTTTGTCTTCATTTATATGATTTAATTTTTCGCACTGGGACCTCACAAATCTTAAATTTTTTGCTTTCTCGCTCAAAAACATTACTATAAATATAAATATTAATATTTATATTAATATTGATATTCAGACCGTCACACCCAAATGCAAACTTTGTTGCTTAAGCAGTATCTTGGACCACATAAAGAGAGAAAAAATGTTGATGTCATTCCTGGTAGTGTAATCACAATCATGACGATGTAGGGGTATAGTTCAATGTCTAAAAAATGGTGTGTTCACTTTGGGGGTTTCCCTTTGTTGGTGCCCCCCCCCTCACTTTGGAAGACGCTCAGCCGCCCCTGCTATATATCATATATGGCTAAATCTGTAATGTCACTTTGACCTAGTGACCTAAAACTTTACAATTTGTTTCAAAAATCAAAATGACAAAAATTTCAACTTTTCAAAAAACGACCTATGATGGTGTGCTATCCATAATATATTATGAGACGTGCCCCAATGGAGAATAAGAAGGAGAAGAAAAAAATTTGTACGTAAAAACAGAAGAGTTGACACAATCCACAGACCAAATTACAAATTTGAGATTCACATAGATTGAGTATTCTCATATTTCAAACATTCATAATCTCTTATTATTGAGTTGACTCAATTTCATTTCAACTTTCACCAGTTTCGTTATTCAAAATTTCTGCTTTCTGTAAGAGCAGTATTAGCTATTAGGATTGGATTTTCATTTAAAATTTGACTTTAATGTACTGGGGGTCAGTTAAACACACCGACTCACAGCCTTGGCTGTCAAAGAAAAAAAAAAAATATTAAAGAGAGAAAGAATTTTGGGGGGAGCATCCCCCCCCCCTCCCGAGATCTAGTGCAAGTGTGTTTTGTCACTGTTGTTCAAATCTATAAATTATCCCATTTACAGTTGTATCTGACATCACCATGCTCTTGTGTCAATTCCCATAATATTATTTCTTTATATATATACACATCCTACATAATCAGAATATTCCCAATAAGATATTTAATTATTTTTACTAGTAATCATAAACCCTTTAAATATATATATATTTTGTCAGACATGGGTACATCGCCCCCCCCCCGAATATAATACATTTCTCTGTGGTGCCAAGTGTTACACATGTGATTCTGTCACAAAATAAATGTTTTGTCACCAAATCAATCTCACCATTTGATTTTGTCACAAAAGCAATCTCACAAATTGATTTTTATCACAAAATCACTTGATGAGATTGCTTTTTGTGATAAAACATTGATTTTGTGACAGAATCACATGTGTTACACTTGGGGCCCCATATATTTCAGCCCCTTTTATCTTTAAATATAGTTCAGTATTAAATCACACAAGTCAAGTCAAGAGGCAAATGTTTGGATAAGGAAAAAAAGTTTTAAAAAGTAATCCATTTTATGTACACTGTAAATACATGTCACTTTAGTATGCATAGTAACTAGAATCCCTCTTTTTTATGGTCAATTACAGGATGTCTTGCTGGGGTTATCATTCATGTACCTTTCCAGCGGACTGAGTTTCTGTCGAATGAGAAGAACATCTTGCACCATGGATGGATTCTGCCTTCTCTATCTGCTCATGATCCTCCTGATGAGATCTGGTGATGTTGAAACCAACCCTGGACCAGACAGGTCAGTCTATATGTATTTGAAGCTTATTTCCAGTTCTTTATTGCAACAGTAATGAGCAGTAGGGATATTAAGTATTTGTCTTACTATTAAGCCATAACACCACTGCATGCATGCCAATTTTTCTTCCATATTCAAATGCACTGCTCAATGAGGTATATTCTTGTGTCTGTATGCTTCAATATACCTTTGAATAAATATCATCAGTACATGTAGCTCAATAAAATCAGATAGGTATGCTCGTGAAGCTGCAGTTACTGACATTGCTCAACTGTAGGAAATATTTGTAGGTTGGTTTTTATTCTACCATGTAGTTAATTAGTTGTACAGTCTGTTTTGCCCAAAAGCTCATCAAGAACTGAACTAAACTTACAAAGTATGAAGAAAGGTGCTTTTAATGAATTATATAGTAGGGGTTACAACACAATAAGAGACACTTAAGGCCCCTCTAAAGTGTTGGGAGCCCCAAGAATTTGATGGCAAAATTTCACTTAAATTGTATCACAATGTCAAAAGGGATGTCATTTTAAACACATTTTTGCAGGATTTTAAAAACAAATGTGTTGATGTCAAATATTGATTAAAGAATACAAAATCTAGGTTCTTTGCGTACAACAGAAAACCTAAATTATGTATTTTTTTAAAATCAATATTTGTCTTCAAACACATTTTTTGGGGGGAAAATCTTTACAATTTAAGTGAAATTTTGCCTCCAAATAGTGGTGAATTTGGGGCTCCCAACACTTAAGAAGGGCTTTAAGAGATACTTAAGAGATGCTTGATAAACTCTTGTTTTTAATTACAGGATTGTCAGTGAAAAGGAATTCTTAAAGCTGTCCAAGCAAATTGAACCTAGCCACTACCAAGAAGTGGGCATTAACCTGGACATCTCCATTGCAGAGCTTGGGCAAATCAAGGAACGCAGCCTAAATACCAGTGATGCATTGATGACAGTCTTCACAAGATGGAGAGACAAACAGCCTCCAGACACAGACATCAGGGCTCTTCTTGCAGAGGAATTAGAAAGAAGTGACTTAGGGTCCCTCTCTGGCGAACTACTTGCTGGCAGTCTAGTCCCAAACAGGACAGGTGAGAATAAAAAAAGAATCATGTCGGCTGCTTGCAAGAAGGCCTTTACTGCCATTGATAATGTATTGCTCTTGCAGGCAGCCAACAAACACTAATTTGACACTTCCTCGTTTGGTACAAATAGGGATTATTTTATAGCAGGACATCCAAGTAGACGAACAGCCCATGAGACTGATACTGCCGGTCTGTTAAACCCTTAAAAAAATAGTTGTCAGAACACCCACGAGACCAACATGTCAGTCTTGTGGGTTGTCAGTCCATGGGTCGTTGGTCTCATGGACCTTCTAACAACTTTTCAGATGGTTCGCTAGACAGATATTGTCGGTCTTGTGAGCTGTCGGTCTCATGGGCTGTGGCCATTAATACATGGCTACAGACCCATTCACTTGGTACTTGTGTATTAAAGGGAGATGATGAAATTAGTTTTACATGAGGCTGTACAAGGATTATCATTCAAATTTCTTGGCATTTCAAGCCCAGCTACTTTCTGACCATTTTTTTTCAAGTCATGCTCATCTTTTGACACCAAGCTTATGAAAATTGTACCATTTCAGAGTCGTTTTATCTTTTGTGACCTTATAATGTTAGCCCCAAAATGGATAATTTCTGATTTTTGTGTACAAAACAAAAGGAAATCTACATTTCTCTCATTTCTTTCTATTTCGAGTGTAATTGTTCTTTGAGCTATAAAATATAAGCTTTATATGGTTCATCATTATTGTCCATACTGTTAAGCGATGGAAATTAATGATATTGACATGTTACTTGATGGATACATATATAGACATATGTATATACCTTCATACCTAAAGACAAATTCTATTGAGATAAATAAGAAAGAAAACAAACAGAAATGTCATGCATCAACAATAGTATATATATGTATGATGTGCAGACAATAAGTTATTATCTGTTCTCATTTGATCTTGAAAAGTTGACAACAATAAATACATCAGAAATTTGTTTTTATGTTCATGTGTATAATGTTATGAATATCCTAAACAAAAACATTTTGATATTCAGAAGAAATTATCACACTTTTAAAGGTGCACCTGTTACAAGGCCAGGATCACAGACCCAATCACTTTCTCCTGACCTGATCAAGAGATGTGCAGATGATTTCAAATTCAAGTACCGGACAGCTTTCTGTAAGATCAGACATGATCCTCTCGACCCTGATTCCATTGTACCATTCACAGACATGTACACAAACCTTGTCCTGGAAGAGGAATATCGGAAAAAACGCAAGCGACCACTTGAGTACAGTGATCTCTTTAAACTCGAAGTCAATGGAGAGTTCCCCAAACGGATCATGGTTCAGGGAGAGGCTGGGGCTGGAAAGACAACATTCTGTGCTAAGATTGCCTGGGACTGGATAAATGACAGTCCTGCTGTCCCAAAGTTTGTGTGGGTACTTGTTGTCCCTTTTCGTGAAGCCAAACAATACACGATCGGTGAGATTGCCAAGTCGTATCTCTCCAAGGACAACCCAGCAACAGCCTGCCAGATCACTGAGTACATCCGATCAAATCCAACTCATGTTTTCATTGCGTTTGATGGATTAGATGAGTTTAAGGGCAAGGTTGTACAGGAAGGGGAAGCTGGTTCAAAGTCTGAATGTCACCAGCCAAAGTCTGCTGATCAAACCAAGGCAAGATCAGAATCAAAGATGAACAAGAATAAGCAGCAAAAGTCAATGCAGCCAAAGTCATCAAGTGCCACTTTGCAGCCAAGAGTCAACAGTGCAGAGGCAAGTGGAAGTTCTTCAGAGAGAGGTGACATTGCACTTACAGACATTCTTCATTCAGATGAACTTGCCACTTGCCCGGTGTTGGTGACAAGTCGCCCATGGAAGGTCACAGAGATAAGAGATAATGATAGTCTGAGGAAGCTGTACACTTTCATTCATGTGGAAGGTTTTAGCAAGGAGAATGTGGAGGTTTACATTCACAAGTACTTTCCTGAAGATACGGTCAAAGCAGATCAGCTTATCCAATTAACCAAGGACAATGTCATCATATCTAAGAATATGGCCCCGTTTCCTATCTACATAGCTATGCTCTGTCTTATGTGGAGAGAACTTGGTGACAAAAAACAAGAAAAGTTGAAGTCATTACAAACTTTTTCTCAAATATTTGATGAAATGTTTGAATTCTTGAAGGTGCATTATGCTCAGAAAAATATCACAGATTTAGACAGCCCATCTTTCCAAGCCTATCGCTCTCAAATTGAGAAGCTCATGGAACCAGTTGCCAAAGTTGCTTTCATCGGGCTACAAGAAAACACCCTTAGTTTCAAAGAAGGTGATTTTGCACAGTGCTCAGACTCCATTGAAACAGCTTGCAGAGTAGGGGTGTTGTCTCAGGAGAAAAATTTGTCATCTAACCTGTATGATAAGAGCAGTATGTTCCTGCAGTCTACTATCTTCTTTCCACACAAACTATTTCAGGAGTACATAGCTGCGGTCCATCTTGCTTCCCTGTATGAATTGGATCACAATGAATTCAACAGGCTGATTGAGCAAGTAGTGCTGCCTAGAAAGGAAGAGTTTAGGTATCTCCTGTACTTCACTGTATCACGGGACAAAACCATTGCCAAGCATGTCATGAAATGCATGTTACAGGGTGGCACCTCAGACAAAAAAAATATGAATTTCTTGGTTGATGTATCCTTTGAGAGTCAGGACCTAGACACTGCAGCCTTGTTGAGGGGTAGAATATCATATCTGACAATACAGCCATTAATGACAGCACACACAATAGCAGGTTGTATATTCACTGGACTAGGTGTACATAGAGATGTGGTAAGTTTGATATCTTACAAACATTAATAAGTATTATAATTTAAAGGGGATGTCCACCCTGATATTAACTTGGTTTGAATAGAAGCAGAAAATGAGAAAAACAGGTCAGTGACAGTTATGAGTTTTGAAGATGGGCGGGGGAGGACTCGGTTTCTGATGTTTGAGAGGATGGTCAGTATGTGATGACAGCAGAAGGTGCTGAAGATGCTCAAACTTCCAATAATTTGTTTCTCTCCCTTTCCTGCTTTTATTAAAACCAACTTACCAATATCTGGGTGGACTTCCCCTTCAATTGCAAACCCATCAGGTATTTACAGACATGCATTTTTTTAGGAATGGGTATTTAATATTAATTCATTTATTTGTTGTATAATTAAAAAAAATATGATTAGCAGCCAATGGCTGAATTGTTCACATTTTACAAGCATGTTTTAGAAATACATAAAATACAATACTAACTAGATGGAACTTTGACTGCGCGCAGTCAAAAATGATGCCTCCGCCATAGAGCAATTTTACAAACCAAAACAGAAACAATTTTTAAATTCAAGTTTGATTGTAATCCATCTGTGGGTTTTAATGATAATGCATGCACAAGCTATTTTTGGCATACATAATGAGGCATGTGACCTTTGACCTTCGACCTGGTGACCCCAAAATCTAATCAGTTCATTGGCTCTGCAAGATACATACATGACTTGAGTTTGATAGTAATCTGTCTATTTGATCTCATGATAATGCGATCACAAGCTATTGTTGGATACATAAAGACCCCTGTGACCTTTGACCTGGTGACCCCAAAATCGAATCATTTCATTGGCTCTGCAAGATACATACATGACCTGAGTTTGGCAGGAATCCATCAATCGGTTCTTGAGATAATGCGATCACAAGCTATTTTGCATACATAATGAGCCCTATGACCTTTGACCTTCGACCTTGTGACCCCAAAATCTAATCAGTTCATTGGCTCTGCAAGATACATCCATGACTTAAGTTTGGCAGGAATCCATCAATCAGTTCTTGAGATAACGCGATCACGAGCCATTTTCGCATACATAATGAGCCCTGTGACCTTTGACCTTGGATCTCGTGACCCCAAAATCTAATCAGTTCATTGGCTCTGTGAGATACATACATGACTCAAGTTTGGCAGGAATCCATAAATCGGTTCTTGAGATAACGCGATCACGAGCCATTTTCGCATAAATAATGAGCCCTGTGACCTTTGACCTTGGATCTCGTGACCCCAAAATCTAATCAGTTCATTGGCTCTGTGAGATACATACATGACCCAAGTTTGGCGGGAATCAACCAATCATTTCTTGAGATAACGCGATCACGAGAACGGGACGTACGGACGTACGGACGTACGGACGGACGTACGTACGGACGGACGTACGGACGGACGGACAACCCAAAAACATAATGCCTCCGGCTACTTTGTAGCGGAGGCATAAAAATGGTAAGAATATCCAAAAGCCAGATGATGCTCGCAGTACATAATTCATGGAGAGAAGTAAATTGCACTTTTGATCAAATTAAATTATGTCCATCGGTCCCACCATTTTATCTGTCCTCTTCCTCCCCCTCTCTTTCCCCTTCTTTGTCTCTCTCCCTCTCTTGCCTCTGGGTTGTTGGCAGATATAGCAATAATTTGGTTTAATTCAAAGTCAAAAGTATTTAGGATGAGTTCAAAAGAGAATATAATTAATCAACGGTATGAGTATTAAAAAGAGTAAAAAATATTGCATAATTACAAACCTTCAAATTGGTCAATAAATTGTATCAAATTGTTAAGCAGGGCTTGAATGGGGTGTAAAATCGTACATATAATAAACTAATTAACAAAAAATAATTGACAAAAATGACAAGATAAACGCATTAAACCGAGGATAAAGGGATTTTGCGGGTACTTTTACCTAAGTATGATGCACAACAGATTTATTTATGGATCCCCCTCCCCCTTTACTTTAAATTTAAATTCAAGAGCATGATGAGGTAGAGGAGGAGCACTTCTTTTGAAGCACTCCGTTTTAAGACTTCGGACTAGGTTTGGCCATTTCGCAATGATCAACAATGTAAAGTTGATTGCAATGGAGGAAGCCCGTGGTGAAAGTTTGATGATGGGCTGGTCAATCTTTTGAACAGACTCAATGCTAGTTTCTCTCGTCATTCATTGAGAGTGGGCAGTTCCAATTCTTTTAGAGCATGTTAGTAAGAACAGTAGTGCAGTCCAAGCACAAGGCAGCATGCTCATTTTTTGGATTCTTTCAATCTGATTACTTTGGTTTTCAGTTAGCCCAGAGGGCCAAGCAGGGGCACAGTATTCTACCATGGGCCGAACGTAAGAACAGTAGACAAATTTGATCATTTGCTGGAAGTTTGAATCTGTTTAATATTCTGAGCATGTATAGTTTTGTGCTTGCTCGCTTGACAATATTATTCACATGATATGAACATTTCAGATCATGTTTAACCAGTACTCCAAGGGGGTGTTTCATAAAGCTGTTCGTAAAGTTACGCATGACTTTACAAATGACTTATATATGAAAAGCCAAATGGGATGCTCAATCATTTTTAACTGCATCAACTTAAGTTGAACTGTGCAGATGTAGATTAATTATAGTAACGCTGCCTTGCGTCCTTCTGTGCGTCCGTCCGTGCGTCCGTCCGTAACAAATTTGGTTTCTGATTGATAACTTCAGTAATGTTTGACGGATTTTAATGAAATTTGATATGAAGGTACATGATATCAAAATACAGGCTAATTTCGTTTTCGGAGTATGTAGGTCAAAGGTCAAAGGTCATAGATCATTAAATATGCGAAAAACTACACATCTGGTTTCCGATCGATAACTTTAGTAATGTTTGACGGATTTTAATGAAATTTGATATAAAGGTACATGATATCGAAATACAGGCTAATTTCGTTTTCGGAGTATGTAGGTCAAAGGTCAAAGGTCATAGATCATTAAATATGCAAAAAACTACACGTCTGGTTTCCGATCGATAACTTTAGTAATGTTTGACGGATTTTAATGAAATTTGATATAAAGGTACATGATATCGAAATACAGGCTAAGTTTGATTTTGGAGTATGTAGGCCAAAGGTCAAAAGTCATAGCTCATTAAATATGCGAAAAAATACAATCTGGTTTCCGATCGATAACTTTAGTAATGTTTGACAGATTTTAATGAAATTTGATAAGAACATTCATGGTATTAAAACACAGCCTAAGTTCGATTTCAGAGTATGTAGGTCAAAGGTCATAGCTCATTAAATATGCGAATCTGGTTTCCGATCCATAACTTTAGTATTGGTTGACGGATTTTAATGAAATTTGATAAGAACGTTCATGGTATTAAAACACAGCCTAAGTTCAATTTCAGAGTATGTAGGTCAAAGGTCATAGCTCATTAAATATGCAAATCTGGTTTCCGATCCATAACTCTAGTATTGTTTTGACAGATTTTAATGAAATTTGATATGAAGGTTCATGGTATCAAAACACAGCCTAAGTTCAATTTCAGAATATGTAGGTCAAAGGTCATAGCTCATTAAATATGCAAATCTGGTTTCCATTCGATAACTTGAGTAATGTTAGACAAATTTAATGAAATTTAATATGAAGGTACATGGTATCAAAATACATGTACATGTACAGCCTAAGTTCGATTTCTGAGTATTTAGGTCAAAGGTGAAATGTAATAGCTCATTAAATAGGCAAAGCACCCAGCACTATACAAAATCAAATTAATAAAGTTTCAAATAATTTATACACTAAACAACATTTAAGAGAGAAAGAAAGAGATGAGAAGGAAGCATTACAAATTTGCACAAGTCTTCAAGGAGATGTCTTTAATACAATATTTACACTAATGATATTTTTAAGTGGGTTTACTACCAGCAATGATGATTATTGACTGTCCATTTTTGTTGTAGTGGAGGGGAGGGGGGGGGGGGGTTGATGTGAAACATACATTATGATAATACTTGAGCAGTATCATTTCATATACCCATCACTATAGGCATATGATAAATATCAACAGTCAACTATTTGAATTAGTTTTATTGGACTACCAACCCTTTTCTGGTTGGAAAATAAACTGCTTGAAATGGCATCCTACACCTCAGTTTTGCTGCAACCAGTCCTCTTGATCATTTGATGCTCAGACTTCAGAGTAACCCTTAATTTTGATGGATGGAATAATTTAGGGCCCTTTAAAAATGGCCTTTACCATGCTGCATTGCAGATAAAATGTTATAGCAGGCCTTCCTTTGCAAATAAATTTGGGATCATATAGGTTTCGTAGCACTACTCGATGATATCGACCACTGTATTAAGTAACCATTCTGTGATCATTCAATGAGACTTTCTTAATGCAGGCCGAGTGACAGAAGCATCAACAAAATCTGAGGTGGTCTTAAACTTTATCAATGGACTCGGACTTTCTCATATTTTAATTTTTCGTTTGTTTTGTTTTTGCTTTTGATTTAGATCGATCTTGGAGTAAATGGAGAATTTGGACCAATTATATCACATGATATGGGGGAGATTATATGCTCTGTGCCCTCTCTAGAGGAAGTTACACTACTTCAAGCTGCCTTGCACAGTGACTTCTATGCAGTTCTTGCTAAAGAAGGAAACAAGTCCAAGGTGAGTGAAAAAACACATTGTAATGCCGTAGTCTAGCCTAAGGGGACGCTTTGTCAAGACGCAGAACATCAATCGCTTGAAAATTTGAAAAATCACTGTGATTACAGTTGTAGAAAAAAAATTAAGTTGGGTCAGGAATTTAAAAGTTAAAAACTAAAATGTGTATTGTTTTTGTCATTCTGTCACTTTGCATCCTCCCAGTAAGATTTACACGAGGTTGTTGCAAAATTTTCTCACAACAAAATACAAAATTGTAGTGGGAAAGGGGGGGGGGGTAAACCTTCCCCCTTCAGTTGCCAAACTTCCTTAAATATCCCACCCACCTCCTCCCCCCCCCCCATTCCTGCTATGACAAGATATTGCTACCCCTGAATGTTAGATTTAGGGATAAACCATAATAAACTTGAGTATTGAATGGGAAATGCACATTGGGAGTCAATACATGCAAAGTGTTCAAATAATTTAAAGCCTATCAGAAAAGGTTTTTATTGCCAAGTCTTGAATTATATTTAGTGTTCACTTAACTTCTTTCTGATTTTACATTCATGACATGTTGCATTAACCTCAATTTAAAATTTCTGCATCATGTCAGGGTTTCTTTTTACAATTTAGTTTTGACTATACAACCGTCTGTAGTGTATATTGGATTCCGGACCAAAGTTTGTGAAGTCAAAGAATCAATTTGGAGAATGTTCTAAAGTAATATGAATCAAATATGACATTTAATTTTAAAATTGCCACGCACAGGCCAACAGCTTTTTTGGCTAAAATCACAGTGCACATACCTGCTTAAATGTAAATAAAAATATGGCTGATGATGATGATATCTAATTGAAAAGGGAATTGAGATGAAAATAAGAGATGATCTTGCATTTTAAGAATGTTATTCAATTTGTCGACAAACTCGATTTCCTGGTACATCATAGTTATTTACATTTAAAGCGACTACCTATATTCTTTATTTCTGATATTACTGTTTTTCTTTCCTAATCACTGTCTGAGTCGCTGCTTCTGTCACTGATTTTCGCTGCTCTGATGTCGTATTCGATGTCCTGCATCCTGCTAAATTTGCTTGATAGTCCTTGGTAGTGGCACCCTATGTAGCACGGTATTTCCTTCTTAGCACATGAGCAGTTCTTCTTGCACCCTTCAGTACATCCGCATGATATAGCCTTCTTCATTGAAACGGGCCAGGCTTGATGGGTACTTCGAACAGGAAGCACGTGCTGATCATCCAGATTCCACCCAAATTCTGTCCAGGGTGGGGTTTAAGGCTTGGCAATGTGTGCTCTCTTATTCATCATCGTTGCAAGGGCATGCAGCTCTCTTTACATGTTTGGGGGGGGGGGAGGAGCCTTTAATAGGAGAGTATAGATCTGTTGTTCAAAAACTTGTATGCTCTGAGATTGCCCAGATCAGACTCCTTGAAGTCCTCACTTGCTGAGGTGTTAATATATGTTGTGATGGCCCTAATACCTCCTTGATTAGTTCTCTGGATACAACGTCAGTGATGGCCCTTGCCTTGGGGTTCTCACCAAGTCAACAATCTCTAGTTCTCCATCACTAGCAATGATCTGTGTCATACGCAGGAGAGCAGTTACTTCATCACTCTTCCCTGATTTAGCTCTTGTGGGCCCAGACTTCTTTTGTTTCTCGTTTTGTGTGTGGAACGTGTTCAGCTTCATAATACTTGTCTTCTTCTGAAGACTGGACAGTGATTGAGACAGTGCCTCCATGCCTATTTGTTTAACACTGCTCAAGTTGTCCTAAACTGTGCAATCAGCACATTGCCCAGTTGACACATTTATCAGGGATGTTGTAGTTGCACTGGATGGATTCGTCTCGACTGCTACCATTACCTTGATGACCATCTCTGTGTCCCTTGTTACTCGACATACACCAGATTCATTGTTACGGCTGGGTGAAAGAAGATGCAGCATCGATATTTACTGTGCAGAGACAGATGTGATGGGTTTTAATTGTTTAAACCCATTTTATCCATGCGGCGGGGTTAGGTGTAATTCCGTCATGACCGCTTTCTTCTTTACTTGGCATCTGCATTTGTCTGTTCAAGAAGCATGTCAGGAGAAACACAATTGTGCTTGCCATCTGCTCTCCTTGCAACAAATGCACCCGCCATAAGTGCTTCATGTACATCAGGGGCTGTTTTAGGAAGATTTTTCATCTCATCAAGATAAAGAGGCAGAGACTGCTGCCCATATTTGTAATGCCCTGCTGCTTTGAGCTAAGGTATCATTCAATATGATTCACAGACATGTCCTACCCAGTCAGCTTCTCGCTGGTAGTAGTTAAATCTATGCAGAACATCAGGAAGGTGGACCAGAAGATTGCTGTTGGTTGATCGACCATTGATTCTGGGAAAAGTTCCTGAAGGGCTTATAACTGTTCATGGGAATTCTGAAGCATTTGCAACTTTTCAGTGGCAGTGATGTCTTTTTCATAGAGCATTTTTAAGACAGATTCCACCTCAGGCTGCCAGTGATCTGTTTCTCTGTCTGCTGCCCATCATGTCTAGAATGCTTCCTAGTAGAGGCGCCACATAGTTTCGCTCAGGATTCTGAGGGCATGTATGGCCTGGTAGTAGCCCCTCCCTGGCACAGACCAGCTGCAACATATCTTTTGCACCTGCCGCCCTAAAGATCTGCAAACTGCTTTCATGTAGTTGTGAGCTTGATGAAAGCCACCCAGCAGTAAGACCACATTGCTGAACTCACTACGATGCTTGTCTCTGATGGCTACAGCGAGCTCATATGTAGCCTGATCTCCAGTTATAATTGTGTATTTGTTACCACGTGCATGTGATGTCCTGACAAGTCAAATCATCATTTCCTTTAGTACAGTAGGGTCAGTTGGAGAAGATGGGATCAGAGGAAGATAGCCAATGATTCTAGCCTGTCTATGTGGATGGAGGTCAGCACGGAATGAGGAAAAGCCCGGAAGTCCTGCTTCTAAAACTCTAGGAGCATCCACCAGTTGCGAAGTTGTGATCATTCTACCGAGGCGCCACATAAGCAGAACGTCCTCAGTCTGCATGGCCATCTGAAGAGTGAGTGAGTCTGGAACCATATTGTATGCAGATGTGAATGAAATCTCAGTTGAATTTTTCTCACACATCTCTTTCTTACACTTCACAATCTGCTCTAAGAATCTTTGATGCTTGCAGGAGTGTATGGTGTTATCCCTCGATATCATCTCCTTCTAGGCGCCTCAGTTTTTTCAGTGCGTCACCAAGTGGTAATGTGGAAGCACATATAAATCCTGAACCTTTGGTTTGATTGAGAACCAAAATATGTGACCTATAGTATTCATGTAATGTATGTTTCAAGATGGTCGCCCGGTATTTATCTCCTTTATCGACACCAAGCTCCTCAAGAATGTCTTGGTACCTTACGCGGATGATTCTATGAGGAATGTGGACAGACCAGGAGCTGGAAAAGAGGAGCTTCCAGCTCATCTACAACATCATAAGGGTTTAACTTTGGCCGACCAGAATGCGAAGAGCCTTAAATTTGTTCATATATGTTGTTACACACGTAACTGGATGAAGAATAGGCTTATCACAGATTCTTGTTGGCATATGATGCATTTTGTGTAGTCAGTGCTCATATCTTTGGAAGACTTCTTAGCAGGCACGTGCTTCATGGACATGTCACTATCTGCCACACGTTTTTCTTGGCTGGTTACTCATCTTGCTGTAGGAACCTATAATATAGAGGGGTGTATCATTTGAATAATAGTTGCACTGTATTTATATTTGATATAAACGTAACTTTGAAATGTTACTTTACATTAGCAGGCAAACTTTCACTCTTTCTTGTAATTCTTGTAAGATCTTAAAAGACAGACCCAGGAATTCTGAAATTCATCTAGTATGAGGTTGCTTTGGTCAATGTCACCCTCTTATACCTATATCAATTATAAAACAACATTGAGATGGGGGTAATAGGTATATTAGTATTGGATTAACAGGAGCATTGGATGTAACAAACATGTAAAGTCATCACAAAAGGTTGCAAATCCGATTTAAGTGTTGTGATCCAAAACACAAGATGGAACAAAATTTATGCTACATTATATTAAGGTTTATTCTAATCTACAAGTGTTAAAGTGGAACTAGTATAAGAAACTATATATTTATTGGTTCACTTTCTCATATATTTACATCAGGTAATGTTTTAATACAGAGTCCTTGAGAAGAATCTTCAGGATTGCTCCATAGTGATGCCAGATGATTACATATGGAAATTCTGTAATAAGCTGCTAGATAATATTTTATCAATAATCCAAAAGTTTGCTAAGAGTAAAAATATTCTGATTTGAGTTAGCAAAACTTACTACATCCTCAAACCTGCAACTGAAATTCCTACCTCATACCAAAATGTTCAAGCTGGTTAGGAAGTTTCTGATAGTTTCTTCATCATTCTATTAGTTGAAATGTACTTGTAATGTTTGATTTCCTGTCTCTCTGATGTTGCTAACAACTCTGTTTAGTCATTTATAGAAAAAGGGAAGAATGCAATTAATCATTCACATTTCAGTTGCAAACTTGACACATACGGTATGCGGCAATGATGACTCATATTAAATGTATTATCAGGGAACTAAACTGCATATTGTCCAAAATGAACTTTGTTATGCTATAACTTTTTTTACATGAAAAGCAAAACATCTGTAATTTTCAGATCATATTCAACTAATATTACATACCTGCCAACCCTTACAAATAATCCAGAATATTCTGTTTTTCTGGATTAGTCATTTATAGAACTTCATTAAAGTATTTGTAGATCCAGACAGGATTCTATGTTTTATTTGACCATGTCATATAAAAACCAAGATTCTACAATTACCTTACACAATTTGTATTAATTACAAATCAGAATTACTAATTTTGGGGGGAATTTATGAATTGCCCCTGCCACTTGTGTCTCCCCCCATCGCCCAGCCCAACCGTTCACTGTCCCTTCAATCATTAAGAA